ATATATATATATATATATATATATATATGTGTATGTATGTATGTGCGCGCACACGGGAGCATTTTTCTCCCTCTTCGTTCTCGTGCTCGCGTCCTCCTTGTTCACCCAAACGTGCTTATAGCGCGAAAGCGCTTCGCGTCTCTCTTTCTCACTCTCTCTTTCTCTCTGTTTCTCTTTTTCTTCGCGTGTCTTTCTATCTCGCTTCTTCTCTTTTATATCCCTCAGGTACCGACGGATGTGCTCCGAGTGCTTCGCACACAGTTCCGCGCCTCCCGTCCGCCAACCACCCTGCAGAACCCCTCTCGTTCTTATCTCCGTCCTTGGCCGTCGTGCGTGCACGCATATCGCCTATCTCCGTCGATCGCCAGTACACACGCAAGCTCTCCCTCTCTTCGTCGCGAGCAAACACGGATACATTGCGCGAATGCGCGCGCGCGCGCGCACGACGTGACGGGAACAGGTAGAGTGGTGGACGAGAGGGAAGCAAAAGGAGAAAAAGAGAAAGAGAAAGGGAGAGAGAATGAGAGAGTGAGAGAGAAAAAGAGAAAACGAGAGCGAGAGGGAAAAGATGCGGGAGGAAGGGCTTCAACTCGCCTGGCGCACCACGGGCTTTTCTTGTATTCTATTGATTTTTCCAAAAGTTCGTGGTGTGCGTACGCGTGTATGTATGTGTGTGTGAGAGAGTCTGGCAGTCTGTGGTGTACGCGAGCTTAACGGCCCCGAGTGTGTATATGTGCGTGCACACGCGCGCGTGTGTGTGAGCTTCGACGATAACACCGTCTCCGTTCCACCGACGGAATCCCTCCTTCTCTCACGTCAGTCTTATCCCTCCTCTGCTAATCTCTCCTCTCTCTCTCTCTCTCTCTCTCTCTCCTTCTTGTTCTCTCGTTCGCGACGGTCTTCGTCCGATTTGCGTTGTCCTCGTTCGACGCACGTTACTCGTTCCACACAACCGGTGGATCTCCCTCGATCCCTTTCTCTTCCTCCCACGCGTGAACATCACCCCCTTCACCCTCATCGTCCCCCGGACCGTTACATCCCTCTCGCTCTCTCACTCCTTCCGTCCTTTCCTTCCTCCTAGCACCGCTGTTCTCCTCTCTCGTAGCAACCTGGCTGCCGCGCGCACGCACACGCACACACGGACGCGTCGCTTCGAGCAGGAGCGTGTCAAGAGGTTTTTGGCTTTGACACCACATTTAGAGAGAGAGAAGCGAGTCGCGCGAATCTCTTGTCGCACTGTTTCTCAAAACCGTTTTGGGGACCTGTCGGCGAAATGCAAGCGGCGTCTCATCGCGCGAAACGTCGCGGACTTTGTCGACACGTGAATAACCTCGTGTCGTTCTCGCCCGTCCATTGTCCTACGTCCAACGGAGATGACGGAAACTGATGATTACTCAAAAGTACTCGATATTTAGATAATTGCAGATGGAAAATTATTATGCGTATTGAAAAGAAAATACGTAAGAGTGGACGATAGAAAAAAATGTACCGTATGTACGTCAAGAAATGAGAAAGATAAAAAAAAGAATTTTTGATGAAATTTACGTTTGCGAAAGCGAAAGAGAGAGAGAGAGAGAGCGCGATCCGAAAGTCAACAAACCAACGCCGAAACGCGACGTACGTGTACGTACATATGTATCTACGTGCGTTCTGTTTAGCTGCACTTTTTACACTTCCCGTGCTTGAAGCGAAACAGATGTAAACGCGCAAGCGAAACGCGGAGGAGAGCTAAAACAAGCGGAAAAGCTTTGCAGTTGCAAAGAACGAAACGTGTCCCGTGCAATGTTTGTTTACGAATGGGACGCACCCATCCCCGCAAGATGCCGCTTATAAAAAAACACCACGAAAATCCGCGGCTCGATGACGCGAAACGAGGGAACAGCGAGAACGCGCGCAGAACGTCGCGCGTCCCCCTCGGGGGCTACGTCCCTGATCTTCCACCCACCCATCCATCCAGCGGCAGGGTCACCGCATGCACCCACACCCTTTCATATATACACACACATATATACACATACATGCGCATATATACACGCGCGCACCTCCGCCGTTCCTCTCTTTCCCGCGCTTGCTCCGCCGCAACACATCCTCGCGCTCGTGGTCGCGCGAATATTGTACATATTGCGCACACGTACACGACACGAGCGTGTGCGCATACATATGTATGTATATATATACCGAACATACGTATATACGTAAAGTATATTGCTCACGCACACGTGCGCGCGACGACGAGCAGCAACACACTATGGCGGCCAACGCGGCGGTCGTGCAACCAGGCAGAGCGGAATATAGGCGGACTGTGCTGTCGGCCAGGGCGAAGCAGCAGCGAGACCGGCGATGACTGCGATCGATAATTGGAATCGATTAATAATAAGAGCATATCCGTGCGTACGATGGATCGATCGCACGAAACCGTACACGCGCGCGCGAGAGAGCTGGACCCCGTCCGATATATTTTCCCCGGTCTTTCTTTCTTTCTTTTCTATTTTTTTATTTTTTTTTATTTTTTTGTTTTCGTTCGCCAACCGCGCGTACACCGGGCGCACGGTTTATTTTGGTTACACGAGGTACCATCGGCACACCGTCGTCATGTACCGCGGAACGGAATCGGAAATCAACTTTGGGGAATAATAATTGAGTCGCGCTTCTCGCGCGAGTCGATCGATCGCGCGCGCGATCCACGACGACGACGACGACGACGATTACGACAAACGGCATCGCGACGCGATTGATATACTCACATAGTAATACTGCGACTATTAATTGTTTATCGAAGTCGCCGTGATTACATTGCACAAAATAATAAAAATCGCGCGCGAGAAAAATATAGAGTTTATCAACACAATACATCTTGGTAACTTACTGCACCTGTTCTGTGGTTCGTAATTGTTTTTTTATCTGTTTTCGATTTTTCAGTTTCTTCTTTCCTTATTTCCATCTGTCAATGTGTGTTTGCACATTTTCCGCAAATAGCGCATTAATTCGCAAGTTTCCACTCAGAACTGTTTTGTATTGTGTCTGACAGAAATCTCTCCCCCTCTCGTTTTCTTCCTCCGTGTGTGAACGTTCGTTGGAACAGGAACGTTCGATGGCTGTGTGTGAACGTTCGTTGTCATAAATAAACAATCGAGAGAAAGAGATAGATAAGTAGACAGAGAGAAATATAGTTTTCGAATACCGTATTTCTCGAATCTGATCCGATATTCGTGTCCAGAATCGATGACGTAAGGTTGACCTCGAGGCCTTAGAATACATTGACCCCGCAAAGTATTTTCAGTGCGCGAAGTTAGGGATGCATATTTGAATCCAAGTACGTCGTCGAACTATCTTGCAATATTTACAATCTTCTTTGCGGCAAATACCGCCTCGCGCGAGCGTAGCACACACGAATCTCGAGAAAACTTTGTTACCGCGATAACTGTTCTAACTTTACACGTGTAGAGGTAGTTCGGTCTAGCCGTCGTGGTGGAGGAGTCGTACTGTGAATGTCTAACCGAGAATTGCTCCATTATACAACACAGACGGTAGTAATGTATTTCGGAAGGCATGAAAAGCCGTATTTACGGTCACGCTGCTGTCAGCATCGTCAGTAGATTACGGAAAGACATAATGTAGGACGTATCGACGGCGTTACCCGGCGACGACGACGACGACGAAGACAAGGACGAGGATGAAGACGACGAAGACGACAGAGGGATGCTCGTCCGCGCGCGCGTAGATCTAAAAAAAGATCACCTACGGTAAATATGTGAACGCGACACTCTCTCGTCCCTCTTCCACCTTTGTCGCATCATCAAGAATTTGTTGCGACATCCTCTTTCTCTCTCTCTCTCTCTCTTTCTCTCTCTCCTCGCGCAAATATGATCTTAACCACGTGCGCGCGCGCGCACGCGAGTGTTCGCGCTCATTTGCATAATGTCCTCGGGTCCATAGGTGGAAAGGACGTACGACCCGTTGTAAATTCGGCCGGTCGTCGTAGCTGCTTACGCGCATACAGTGACCGTTATATGTCTCACTCTCTCTCTCTCTCTCTCTCTATCTCCCTCGCAGTGCCTTATCGTCGATGCAACCGAATGTAGCCGCACGTCGGCCGGTCGGGGGATATAACGATCGCGCGCGGGTCGCGCCACGATCGATCGATCTCAATCGATCGTCGAGGGCGCGTGCCTCGATTTACCATCGATTGCCGCGGCGATCGATTAGTCCTGTCGAGCTTCGTCGAGGCTATCCTTGGCTACGACGAGAGCGAGACAAGGACGGCGGTCGTGGAAAACGAAGACGGAGCGCAGAACGGAAAGAACGGAGCAAACGGAGAAAGAAGAAAGAAAGACGCTACGGAGGGTGAAGGGGTAACGGAGGGTGGAACGAGGGCGAGTGTGACGGACGGATGGAGAGAGGGGTGAAGAAACGGAAGATAAGCGGGACGGATAGATCGTGGTGGAAAAGGAGGGAATGTGTGAGGAGAGGGAAAATGCACGTACACGGGAGAGAGAAAGAGAGAAGAAATAGAAAAGCACGTTCGTTGTGAAAGAGAAGGAGAGGGAAAAGGAAAGGAGTGTGAGTGTAGAGTCGATGGTAGAGTGAAATAGTCGGACGTGCGCATGGCTAGAGAGGGAGAGCGGGAAAGAGACGGGAGAAGCAGAAAGATACGAGGGACGAAGACAAAGATAAACGTGAGCGTGAGATAGCAAAGGATAGACTCACCGGACCAGCTACAGCCGCCACCACCGCCGCCACCGCCGCCGTCGCCGCCGCCGCCGCCGTTGTGTCGTCGTGAGGCTTCGAACCCGAACGCGACCGAACGTCGCCGAGCAGAGCCGGAAACATACGAGCGGTGTGGTTCGAGCGGCCGAGCGAACAAAACAGCCGAGCAGTGCGGTGCCGACTCTTGCTGCCGCGGTTCCAGATTCCACGGTGTGTGTGTGCGCGCGTGTTTACACGAGACGAGAAAGGGAGAGAGGGAGAGTTTGCGCCGCTGAGGCGAGAGCAGGAGAGAACGAAAGAGAGAACGAGAAGAAGAAGTCACGAGAGTGGAAGAGAGAGAGAGAAACAGATAAAGACGGGGAAAAGACGAGAGTCATCTGCGATACGTAGTGCGTGCACGCGCGTGTGTTCTCTGTCTCTTCGGAGAAACCACGCAACGCTGTGAGTACAACACACGACACAATACTCGACTCGCTTCGCTTTCGTGACGTATCGCCAAGTAAACCGCGTGAAGTTGTCGGTGGAAGCGAAATCATCGACTGTTCGACAATCTCTGAGTCTCGTTGACGTGCTTGCGCGCGACGCGACCGGCACGCACGAGAACCGCGAACGATAACACGCCAGCCACCCTCGCGCGGTTGCCTTTAACGGGGCGTGGGTGCACCACACCGCGTCGTCACACCGCACCGCACCGCGCCGCACCGCGTATCGCAAACCGGGACGCACCGGCGGGCGAGAGACGGCGGGCGAGTGCGCGTAATTCAAAAGGTTGCGCGCGGCGTCGTACGGCCGAGAACATGACAGACGACGCAGAGTGCGCGAAATCGTGGCGGCATTGCGTCACGAACGAGAGGACGATAATATAAGACGCTGTGATATATAAACAGATAGGAGGAAAGCACGCGAGAGGGGAACCGCAGGAAAGAAAGTTGCCAAACCGATTGTACATCCGCGGCGCGGCCAGTGATCCCGTGTGCTCGCGTGTTGCGCGCGCGAGAGCGCGTCCGCAGTGAGTGTGTGTGAGTGCGAGAGGGCCAGGTCACGCGCGAGTGGACCCTGAAGAAGAGAGGAGAGAAGTGAGAGAAAGAGAGAGAGAGAGAGAGAAAAACAAAAGAGGAAAGGAGAGCAGACTTTCGCGGCTTCCGGCCTTTGCCGGCGCGGAGGCGGCTTGTAACAGCAAATTTCACAGAGAGGATGCTGGTAATGTCACTGACGGTCGTTACGACGTGGGCCACGATGACGACGTCCCGTGGTCTCGATTGAGAATCTCGGGACTCCTCGAATCATCCGAGAAGTAGCTCTGGGCGTGTTGACACAGTGTCACGTCGTGACCGACGTCGGTCCCGTCGCCGCGACGGTGGCAACGACGGAAACGTCGTGCTGCTGGCCGCGGCGTGTGCTGCAATCGTTAACCAGGTGTTGCCCTGACCAGGTGTTCTACGAGACGCGAGAGACAGGTTGCCGACGGCACGCTCGCAGTTGCCGTCGGATAGGTGTCTTGACGAAGAACTTTGTCACAGGATCCGATTCGACGGACAGTAACGTGTGTCTTACTGTCACAACAAGACCTGAACATCGCATTTCCATAATTACGGTCTCTGAACTGTTTTTGCCTTCTCGAAGGCATATGTTATTGGAAAATTAGAAAAAAAAAACCGTAGAGTTGCTAAGTCACATTGTGAAACTATTTCGGAAGTAAAAGGAATTGAAAACTTTTGTAGGTATTGTAATTATTATTTGGACGGATCGACGAAGAGAATTTTTACACCCGTGGAACGTGATAATCGTCTACAGAGACTTCCGAAAACAAATATCGATCCTGAAAGAAACATCTGCTGTGGCACGGAAGATATACGGCAAAAGCTTTTATCTTCCCGGAATCTTACCTACTTTAGAAAAAAACTTTAGAAAACAAAAAAGAAAACAAAAAGGAAAACACGATACCAGATTGCGAACGAAGTCGTTATTGGGTGTTGAATAAGTGTCTCTCAGGCGACGCTTTGGTATCCGAATTTGACGGGACGGAGGAGCGACCGGCGTCGCAACGTCGGCCGACGGTGAGCGTTATATCCGCACGCTGACAACAACGCGGTCAGGATGCAGGTAGCAACGCTGTTCAGGGAGAGCGCCACTCTGCTGGGCGCCTCCAGCCTGGACCCCCCACAGACTCACCATCATCAGAGTATGCACCAGCAGCAACAGCAGCAGCAAATGCAGCAGCAACAACAACAGCAGCACGCCAACGACATGCACCTCGTTGGCCACCACTTGCAACACCACTACAAGATGTAAGTATATATCCTTCTCTCTGCCATTCTTTTCGAACACTGACTTCGTCGCCGGCCTGGCAACCCGCGCCTCGGCGCCGCCTTCGAAAGTGCTCGACCTTCGAAGCCGAGAGAGACTCGCTTCGGCAAACGCGCACGATGGCCAACTATAATACCGGCCGCGTGCACAGCACAAGTTGCTAACTTCAGCGAGACCTTCAACGCGAAGACTTGTCTGTGCGCGCTAAGTTGAAACTACTTTTCGCAACGCAAAGAAAAATATATAACTCGCGCAAAAGTTTGTCTTTTTAATTCTCGTCGATTAGATCCTTTTAAAAAATCAGAAGGGTTTTAAGCTCGATGCAAAAATTGCAGATTGAGAGATTAATAAACACGTTCTGTCAAAAATATGCTCAATTAGTGTTAACTGTTGCTGTCGATGAACATAAGATGGGGGAAGTCAACTTATCAAGTGGCATCCGGAGCAACGATATTGTCGGAGGGAGGGAAACAAAATACGCTCTCTACTTTGCTCTCTCGATGGGAAACTATAGAGATATAGCTGAATTTGCAAACTGTGCTTGAATTGTGTTGCAAAAACCAGATGGTTTTTGCAGTCAAAACATATACGTATATATATATATATATATATATATATATATATATACATACACGTATATATATGCATATATATATATATAACCTACCGGTGAATTCATTCGGCTTTTTCGACCATGTAGATGCTGTCTAAACACGTCTGGTTTTTGCATCAATACGCCGACCACTAAACGGCAAACCATATTCGTGCACTAAACTAAGCGGCAAATGTTGTTTGTCGAACACTAAAAATCCATGAAACTCGGTAAAACCCGTCAAAGAAGTGACCTTGACGCCTCCCTCCCTACATATGAAAACCAATATTTTTCACTGTCTCTGTGCCTCCGATTTGTTGTGCACATTGTGTGTACGTCTGGTGTATTTGTGTGTGCGCGCTCCCCGCGGATAAGATTCTCTCGACGTGAAACGGTCGACATTATCTGGAGCGCGAATTAGAAAATGCTTCTAACGTCGCTAATGAGTTTATCAGAAATTCTTAACTTAAAGAAGTTGAATTGGTGTGTTGTATTTTCTTTTTTCTCTTAATGAGAAACGGTTTTATTTCTTCAAATCGAACAATAAAAAGGAAGACGCGCTTATCGATGTTCCTTGAGACGAATAAAACCGCGTAAAACGAGTGTTGTGCGCGGGGGTGTTGTACCGCGCGGAACTTTTATCTCTTGTCATGTCTTTATCTCTTCGTGACCGTCGAAAGCGCGCGCGCGCGCGCGCGTGCACGCCTTATTTTTCTTTGATTCGCTCGAGTGATCAACCGCGGAGTGTCGTTGCGTCGTTAAAAGTGTTTATTTACGTTCGTTCGGTATCGACATTAACCTTTTAAACGACGTGGTCGGGGCGGGCGACGGCGTGCGCGCTGCCGCCGTCGGTATATCGCTGCCATTCATATTTGTTTTTATCCGCATTCGCGTGTGCGCGGCGCACGGAAATATCTTCGAATAGAAACACACGGCTGGACGCGATACCGTTTTATGAGGCCGCACATGTTTCTCGGCGATATATACCGCCGGCGCAGGGACAATACAAATGGCGACTTGGATCAGCCGGTGAATTCTCTTTTCCTTCGTTTTACGAGAGAAGAGAAAGAGAAAGAGAGAGAATCTCTCACGTGAGAGATCTCTATAACCGTCGCTCGTCGTCGTCATCTTCGAGAGAGCGAAATTGCTCCCGCCGTTTTCTTTTTCAATATTGCTCTTGTTTTATGAATGGGGGATAAAGGGAAAGAAAAAGAAAAGCACGCGGCGGATTCGCACGATGTGCCCCCGCACTCCGTCGCGGAGGAGGTAACCTGTCAGACTTTTATATAAATAGTTGGCCTACACACTCACACACGTACACACATCAAAGAAGGCGATGGTTAAGCGGAAGAAGTCGCGCCGAACGATAAGAAAAACGGCAAGAAAAAAACGCGAAGGACCACGGGATGAGGATCGAATGTCATCGCACACGCTTCTTGTTGCCCGCAGCACAACCGCGGTTTTTATCGCATTATTATTCCTGTTATGACACGGATCGGTGAATTTTAAGTAATCGAAGTTTCTCTTCCCGCTAAATAGATACTTCGCGTACGAATATATTAAGATGCGAATTCCCGATAAACGGGACATCTACGCGTGGCGCTTTAAATTGTCGATTCGCGACTGTGATTCTTCGTTTCGCACGCGAGAACGCGAGATTCTAAATATACAAAATGTTTGCCTCCCAGATTCCCCCCCCCCACTCCCCAGATAACAATTAATCAGTTTATCTGTCTCTTATTGAAAGTACATCCTGTGTATATGAAAATTCGATGAGTTCTCGAGATCTGATTTACGCACGTTTTGAAGTAAATAGATGTGCGGTCGTGTGTGCGCGCGCGCGCGCAAAGACTCCTCTTCGGCGAACTTGAAACTTTGCGCGACAATACAACGCGCGCGGTTTTTTGATAAAAGTCTTGTCAGCGCGTCCGCCGAGCGGACTGATAAACATGCAAAAAGACCGAGCGGTATCGTGAACAAGGGTCATTTCTTACTGAGACGTCGATGAGTCAGTTCGCGGTCGAAGATAGAAATAACGTTGACGAATATAACGCGCGGATAAAAGAGAAAGAAGCGCGATAAACCGACAAACGAACGCGCGCGCGTTCGTTCTGCTTCAATTTTGAAATACGGTGGACGATCTATCATTCTTGAAAATTGGAGTAAAAGCTCTTTTTTTTTTTTATTACGCGCCAGTATTTTCAACGTTTCCGCCGGTGTGATACATTAAAACAAGCCATCGAAAAACGTATGATAAATCGAACGTTTTACAGTGCCGGTTCAACATCGATAGCATACACTGTGATACAAAAAAAAAAAAAAAAGAAAAAAAAAAGAAAAAAAAAATGACAAATTTCTATAATACGTATTGCAATACGATGTGTGTTCTGTGTGTGAGTGTGCGCGCGAGTATATGTACAACGTTCTTATATATAAATTACGAAGAATTTAGTGGAGTGATTAAAATTAATATATTCCAGGAAGAAGAGCGTATAATATATGTTAAAAACTCACAATAATATTGCGCTTAATTCGATGCGCGTCGAAAAACTACACAAATAAATTTGTTATCGAACAGCATCTAAATTACTCTTTCTTATTTTCAGGACTGGGGGGAGAAGAGTTGGCAATTACCGTCACTCTTCCGAATTCCAAAAATAGTGTGTATAAATAAATAATTAAACAGTTTGCTGCTGTTTTTGAAAAACAACGCTCCTCCTTATTTTTTGACAGATATATATTGTACCATTCGTTGTGTTACATAAAATTATGTTATCTCATCGTTGAAAGTCTCAACTTCTGGGTTTGTCTATCTTTGTCTGAGATCAATTTTTGTTTCTGTGTTAATTATTCAAGACAGAGATCTATAGAAAATCGGGTTTAAACCCGTTTATAGACGTATCCATTTACATTGTTCCGGGGAACGCACAATCGTCCGGTCTCTTCAATTAAGATGATGTGACTTCGGAATGAAATGCGAAAACGCGCGCCGGGAGATCGAGCCGGAATTGCGCGTCGCGGAGCAACGACGAAAATTTTACGTAACATGTAAATGCGCTCGTCGTGAATGCGGTCGCGTTGCATGCGTCTCTCTCTTTCTCTCATTACTTTTCTCTTTCTCTCTCTCTCTCTCTCTCACTTCTTCTTCTCCGCGCTCACTCTTGCCTTTTTTATTGCCGAAGCGGCGCTTACGAAACCAGTTTCGGTGTAGGCCGGCGGCTCTTGGTCTCTCTCGACACTCGGCCGACGACGAATTTTTTCTTCCACGAGGAGCTCGCGAGCGCCTAAGTTCAAAAATATTATCACGTTGTCGCCACGCAACGGTGTATTCTCTCTCTCTCTCTCTTTCTCTCTCTCTTTCTCTCTCTTCATCTCTCTTTCTATATCTTTCTCTCCTTCCGTTTCTTGTGTCAGTAAAATCCCCCGCGAATTCCGCACTGCATCCTCCATTCTCGCGGAATGACGGAGTGGCTGCTGGTGGTTTCGAGAGGAGCTCCTTTGCGAATTTCGTCACGCGCGCCGAAGGGACGCGTCGCCGCCGGCTTGACTCTGCATTTGTATTCGTTGCGCAAGGTCCGGTCGCGCCCTCGTTCCTTAAACAGTATAATTTGCGGAATCTCGTCGGCGGCGGTTACTTCTTTCTTCTTCTTCTTCTTCCTCCTCTTCTTCCTTTTCTACTCTTCTTCTCATCCTGCTCTCTCTCTCTCTCTCTTTTCCATCCGTCGCGATGTAATCGTTTCCGGCGTGACGGTTAAACCGCTGAGATATCGTCGGCTATCGATGAATTCGAGTAACAGAAACATCGGAGCTTCTTAATATTGCGGAAAATGCACGAAAAAGGAAGAGAGAGAGAGAGAATGTGGACATTTGCAACACAAAATAAAAAACAAAACGCACGGCGAATAACTTTCTCGCGCGCGCATGTGGAACTGATTGATGCGCTAATTCATCTGATGAATTGCGCTCTTCGCGCGGTTTCTCGATCATAAAGAACAATATATCGCGCGCAGACATAAAAGACGTATATAACTCAATTAGCGGTATTGTAACGTCTCGATAAAATAGCTTAATATAATTTCCATGTAAGAGAGAAAGAGAAAGAAAGTGTGTGGCAAATCTGACAGTGCGATAATTAAAGCCCCCCGAGTTGCTTTATCGCCATCGGACGAGAGAGAAACGCTCTCTTGAGCTCTCTCTCTTTCTCTCTCTCAGCGTGGCTACTGTGAAAATTAGTCTCCGGCTAAACTCGATTATTCGCGCGATCGAAAATATCGATAGATTTGTTAAACGCTCCCCGAGTCGAAATTTTGATGCTACTTTCAAACTTTTGAAGATACTTTGAACCTATTTAACTGACCAATATACTTATTTAAACCTACTTTGACACTT